TTCTGAATGAATTTCTCAGAAATGATACTGTGCCGAGTCTCCGTCGACTCAAATTTTTCCACGCTCTTCGCTCGTAACTCACAAACCTTCACCTCACTTCTTCAAAAAAAAACCACCCCGTACCAAACCACCCAAATCCTTAAATACACATGGACGCAAGGTGCCCGAAAAGAATGAAGAAAACTATTTGATATACACAATAAAGGTTAATTACACAACAGTTTACACAAGTGAAGAATACAAATTACGTAACAGATACAAATAATCACGAACTACACTGATCCTAAGAGAATAAAAAAAATAATTTACATTTAATAAATAAATTCCTAACACTTCCATGACAATCAGAAAAGGCGTTTCGAGCACGAGACAAAATTTTATTCCAGAGCGTAGACGTACAAGAAAATGTTTTTAGAATCACCACCTTGGATGACATCAGAGAGCCCCTGAGTTCGAAGTTATAAATCAGGGGTTTATTTCACTCTTTCCCCCATATACCGTGGTAGGGATGTTGATATTGAAATCAGTTTGGCCGTGGGCCTGAGAGCTAGCAGTCGATTTGCTAAGAAAAAGTAATTTTCTCCTGATTTGATGACTCTTAATGAAGGCTTTCAAACTGATTCATTAGAATTCTTTCGTCATTTAAGATAAAAAAAAAAAAACCGTAGAGTTATCCACCAGTATATGCAAGGGACCCATTAAGGCACAGTGAAGTTCTGTGATTCAGAACTTTCCTCGTAGGCTTGGAAAATGTATTTGTGAATCCCGTATAATTTCGTTAGAAACCTGTTAACCTGAATTATAATTTTATAGCCAATTTACCTATACCCATTAATCTATCTCCAGAAAATCCTGTTTTACATATACAATTAAATGATCCCTTGGTATTGTTGCATACAGCACCAGCACTGCAGTTATGTGTTCCAATGTCACACTCATCAATATCTGTATATTTAGATTATTAACTTATCGAGTTAGGATGTCGATAGCATTTGATCTCATGAGCAATGAACTGGTTATATGAAATATAAAAACATTAATCACTGTAATACTTTTGCAGATTCAACCGACGCCAGAATATCCAGTTATACATTTACAGTTGTAGGACCCATTTATGTTTGTACATACAGCATTAGCACTACAAACATACCCTCCCGTCACACATTCGTCAAGATCTGGAAATGTAACATATGCATTTAACTTCAATTAATACTGTTTCTAATTCAAACAGTGTTTATCAGTGTTGTTTATAGATGCACACAGATTAAAGAATCGGGGAATCTATGTACTAATAGAATAGTGTTACCTTCATCACAAGTCTGACCCTTGTATCCAGCTGAACACAAACAGTGATAACCTCTGTCGGTAAAACCGCTTTGACAAGTGCCGTTATTTTTGCATGGATTAGTTATGCAGTTACTCTGACATGAAAATGATAATAAAAAAAAGGATAACTATTATCACAACAATAATAAAGACTTAAAAAAAGAACAGTAACGAAGGTTGGAAGAAGAAGAAAGAAAAGAGGAAGGAGAAGCAGAAGAAGGAGACAGAGAAAAAGAAAATGGAGACGAAAATAAGAAAAAAAAAAACAAAAAAGGACAAAAAATGACTACGATCCGTATATAGAGTAGAGATGATTAATGATGCCGGCTTCATAACAGGATTTGAGACACATTTACTTACAACCTGATCATGATTTAAAACTCGTCATTGATTATTTTTTTAGGGAATCGAGATATTTGTATTTAAAAGGTGCATAAGAATTAAACAGTTCAAAGAAACTACGGAGTATACAGTTGCACTTGCCTCAGCTCCAATATAAATGTAACTTTGATTCTTAACCAAGTCGACCTTGTATCCTTCGTGATCGTGAGTAACATTATTCAATTCACAATTATATGTTCCACCGTTTCCACTTGGTTGTTTTCCAAGATTGTAGCTGACACAGTTTGGTTCCATAAAACAAAGCACCTCACAAAATTCTCTGTCCTGGACATCATGAATTCGAATCAAATGATTTCGTAGGCGTCGACTTTCGATTGTATTAGCGGGCTTGAAAACCAAATGGCGACATGGTTCTAGGAAATGATAATTTTAGAGAAACAAAAAAATTAAACAAGAATTCACTTTCAAATAAGTTTTATGACTAACAAAAATAAGTGAATCTTAGGGCTGACTAATATATTTTTTTTCACAAAGGATGCAAGGTTTGAAGCCTATTTTAGACGTTGGTTTAATAAAAAAAAATTATAATAATGGATGAAATTTATAAAGAAAATAGAATCCAAGGTGTTTGTCGAACTCACAACCCGCCAGGATCACCAACCTAAAGCGTTGCGTGTGCAACAACTAAAATATTTATTCGGCTGGCAAACGAAGAATGTCCCTTTTTTTCTTTTTTTTTTTTTTCCAAGTTGACCTGCAGGTATTCATCTTAGAAGTGTCAGCATTTAACTAACCATCATTACGCCGCCGCCATCAATCCTCTTTCGATTTTGGTTGATGGAATATTCAACCTCTAACAGAATCAGTGAAGATAGCTTCTGCCTGTATTATGATTTATCGTACGAAATCCTCCGAGACGGATAAGAAATGAAAACCCGAAATGCTCTTTTAAAAAATTGTGGCGAGCGATTCACTAAACCTAAAATTTTAAATGCCAAATCGTGCGTAAAAGAGCTTAAAGGCAGGTAGTTGTTCATTGCCTTTCCCTTAAGGCAGTCATTGAAGACTATGCAAGATAGAACATCATCCGAAAAAAAGGAGGAATATGCCTATTTTTAATGTGAAGGAGGAGGAGAGTTTTTTTTTCCGGATTTCGCGCTGAAATTTACTGAGTAAATCACCAAGAATTTCGCCCTGAAACAAAACTGATATTTAGCCGATAAAGTCATTTGCACCGCATTCGTAGTTTCGTCACATTACACTTAGTAAGATAAAAGTTACTAGCCTTCTGAGGAAACGGAACTAGTCAGTACAAAACATAAAAGTGGCAAAATAAAATTGAGAAAGGACCACATGACGTAAACATAGAAATGCAAGCGGAACTATCTTGATGTTTAAGATGCTGAAAGGGACTTCACAGAGAACGAAATGCACTGCATCTGGTGTCATTAATGACTTTTTGAGTTACAAAAAAAAAAAAAAAAAAATACATCCAGATGTTTTCCTCTTAGGGCATAAATTCTTAATGAAGTTAAACAAAATAGGTTTTTTTTTAAATTGGAATCTCTCGGCTGGTTTCGGTAATGGAGCTGTCCGTTGTCTAAAAGTACACATAGCCACTGAATTTTAATACAGCATGTCTACCCAACACGTTCTGACAAATTTACTTCCAAGTAAATTACAAATGATCAATTTTTTTTTTCTTTTTTCACGCAAGACCTTAAAACATTGAGCACCCTAATTATTTTTACTCATGCGGATTGACGTCAACCTGCTGAGAGCAGGCTGAAGAATATCGACATCTTAATTAAACACAAGTTTTGCTGAGATTCCACTTACATAGCAAAATGTCTGCCGTATTTTGAGAAGCCTGTATGGCGAGTCAGAATACAAATAACGAGTAAAAATACTCAGCGATACGACGCACCAAAACATCTAAGTTATTTATTATCCATCACGCCAAATTGTTATTTTAGTGTGGGCGAATTTCGCGGATATTTATTAACGGGGAGTGCGTGATAGAAGTCTACGAAGCGTAACGCGGAACGGCGCCTAATCGTGTTGCTGTTTCTAATTTCTTCAATGAATGATGAAATTTCGTTGTCGTCTAACTCCTTTTCCTCTTTCAATTTAACTAATAAAGTTGAATCAATATTTGCCACCCATTTGGACTCCTTGTCGTCAGAAAAATGATTTAATTTATTCGGTATTTATTTGTTTTAACCTCAGTCCAATTCGTCGCTTGTGCGATGCGAAAAACACATGTTTAACTGGTTCTCTGGAGTAAAAACACCGTGTGGTATTTGTACTCGTCTTAGGAGTTATTTGTACTCTACAGAGTGTAGTTTGATATTGACATCAAAAACCACAATGATGATCATTGATACTTCGACTTTAGCCCTGTCTTAAAAAATGATGTTACGTGCATGTTATTTTGACTCTCAAAAAATCATTTGTAAAACAACATTATTTGCTGAAAAAAATTAAACAAAAGAACAATAATAATAATGTGAAAGTGTAGTCTGATCGTCCGGGTGAGTGTAGCCCTGAGAAGGACTGTTGTCGGTGGTAGTGACTGACGTTTCGACAACCTGTCCGGAAGTCATCATCAGAGTCAAGTGAATGATTGTTGTCAGTAGAATGTTCTTATTCCAGTTCGTGT